GTTGGTATTCGCAGTTGGGGAGCTAATTAGGTTCTTCAACATCTTACAAACAGACATCAGTATTTGCGTCGCATTAAGAGTGTAGATTAAACCTACTTCACGATGAGCAAGTCACTGGATTATGAAAACTTGAATGAAAATGTGAAGAAATGTCAGTATGCCGTCCGAGGTGAGCTGTACCTTCGGGCTTCTGAGCTTCAGAAAGAGGGGAAGAAGGTATACTTGGATACATAATTAACAGGATTACATTTGAATGCTTATTATGGACAATTAGTTTCTGAAGTATCATCATGATAGCAGCTTAATTACATCTCTCAGCTTCATTGTTGGAATTAAAGTTATTTTCCTATGGAATGAACAGTGTACTTTTTTTTTGGTACCTAGTAAAAATGATTTTCGTCTTATCTAAATGTAATATATGGATGAAAATTTTAGTGATCTATATCCATTTGAACTGTCGTGCAATTACTCAACTTTCAGCACAAACAAATACTCTGCATAATGGTTAAATTAGACTCGGATGATGCAGTTCACTTCAATAACAAAAATTAGTATTGCTGATGGAGAATTGTGGGTGCATAATGCTGTTGGTAGCTAACATGCAACCATAATGAAGCATAATCTTTCTAGCACAGAAAACTTCTCAAAAGATTCTTTAAGACTAGATAATATTTTTTTCTCCAATGCCTCGTTTTCCCAGTATCATTCCTTTTTTTTTTTCTTAACGGCAGATCATCTTTACCAATGTTGGCAATCCTCATGCTCTTGGACAGAAGCCTCTGACATTTCCTCGCCAGGTTTTACATCATACTTATTTCCGTTCATTATCTGTCTGTCAATTTTCTTTCTCTGTTGTATTTGTTTTTTGATGTATGAGAAAAGTGATGTTACAGGTGATTGCTCTCTGCCAAGCTCCATTCCTTCTGGATGATCCAAATGTAGGACTCATTTTTCCTGCTGATGCGATTGAAAGAGCTAAACATTATCTTTCACTTACTTCGGGGGGTCTAGGTAGACCAACTTTATTTGTTTCTTTATTTATTTTCCCATGGATCAGAAGTCCCTTAAAATCTTGGGCTGGATTTTTTATCCTTTTGTTTATTATTCTCGTGTCAGGAAAATAACCACAGCTTATGTGTATTGAGTCGGGAACTTATTTTTCTGCATTTTCAATTATTGTCTATAGTGAACATTGTTTAGGAGATGGTGAAAATTTATAGTCAAAGCAGTGACTCTGTTTATCTCTGTTTACGTACATCAATGACCTCCTCCAAAAGATGGTGAGCAGATGAAGGCTGATAAGTTCGTCAATTTGGGCCACAGTATTTGTGTGAACACATTATCCGTCTTTTTGTCAAATTTGCCTTGTCTTGTCCAGATGAATTTCAGTTAAATCAATGAATCATCTGCGCGATTAAATATTCGTCAAGATGCACAGCTTTAGACTGTTGGAAGATTATAGCATGAGATAACAATAATCAGAAATAATAATTCTCTACATTAAGCCAGGTGCTTACAGTGATTCACGTGGCCTTCCGGGAATAAGGAAAGAAGTGGCAGAGTTTATCGAGAGACGGGATGGATATCCAAGGTTGTGATAAAATGATAGGCTAATTCTGTCATTTAGATAGTTTTGATTTTCTAGTTCCAAATCTTGATATTGCTAAGTTGCATTCATTTGCAGTGATCCCGAACTTATATTCCTAACAGATGGTGCTAGCAAAGGAGTCATGCAGATTCTGCAAGCCATCATTCGTGGTGAAGGTGATGGGGTAATGTTCTTTTGTACCTTTGTTTAGTCCAATAATTCCTTTAGCTACTGTTTAAGTATTTCAATTACGCCCTTTTGCTTTCTGACATGTCAACCCACTTTGCCCCAAGTTCGCAGTTTTTGCAAATAGCTGTTTTTTTTTTCCCTCTTCATAATGTGTGGTTTATTTGTAGATATTGGTTCCTGTTCCACAATATCCACTTTACTCTGCAACAATAGCTTTATTGGGTGGTTCACTTGTTCCATATTACCTTGAGGAGACTGCAAATTGGGGTCTTGATATCGTTAACCTTCGCCAATCAGTTGCCCAGGCTCGTTCTCAAGGGATAACTGTAAGAATGGCGTTTGTTATTGATAGTTTATGTACAAGTATAAATATAAATACATTTTAATAAATGTGCATTAGGATAATGTATGTATGAAGAGATATTACTTGTGTCCCAATTATTGCTCTAGAAATGTCCCTTTGCAGCTTCCTTGTAATAAGGCCCATGCTGAGAATATCAGCTATTCCTTGTAATAAGGCCCATACTTCTAACTATGTTATTGGTAGTTTATGTACAAGTATAAATAGAAATACACCTAACCCTAGTGTTTGGGAAACCTCACTTGCATGCACCTTCAATAGAAATATTATTACAAATTTGTTATATTCCCATTTTCACTGATTGATGTCCCAAAGCAATGTTCTGTTATGTATGCTTACAATTTTTCTATGGTACACGGATGACTTCCTAATGCAATAACCTTTTTCATTATAATTTAAAAAATCTTTAGTATAGTAAGGAAGATTTACACTTGTAAATTTATCTAAATTCTAACCATATAGTTTTGGGAGTTCCGTCACTCTCTTTATAGTCTCTCATTCAGAACATGAAGAAAAACATAGTTAGAAGTATTTCATATATCAGAAGGCAACACGAACTCCATCCAAACAAACTCTACTTTTTTCTCTTCTTTCTTAGTCATAAATGGTAAATTCAACCTGTGAATTTTCACGAACACAACACTAGTGGAAGAGTCAACAACCACTAGCTGCATTAAAGTTTTCCATAATCATCTTAAACAGATGTTGTTCTTACATTACATTATTGGCTTGCTTATTCTCTTTATATCCATGGATTTCTGATAAGGTTCGAGCCATGGTGGTTATAAATCCTGGAAATCCTACTGGGCAGTGTCTTAGTGAAGCAAATCTGAGGGAGGTTCTAAATTTCTGTTACCAAAACAAGTTAGTATTGCTTGGGGACGAAGTCTATCAGCAGAATATTTACCAAGATGAGCGTCCCTTTGTTAGCTCTAGGAAGGTACACATATTTACTATATTCGCATGGATTTTTTTTTTCAACTCAGTGATTTGTGTTTTATTATGCCCCTACTTTTTGGAAGGTTCTTATGGACATGGGCCCACCCATGAGCAACGAGCTGGAGCTAGTTTCTTTCCACACGATCTCGAAAGGTTTTTGGGGGGAATGTGGGCAGCGTGGTGGCTACTTTGAAATGACCAATATTTCTCCCAAGGTTCACATAATTTAGCAACATGCATGTGCTGCATTTTCATTAAGTGGAAGAGGGGGAGAATTTTACCCACTTCAAATGATTTGAATTATAGTGTTAGTGTTGAGGTTCAATATTGTACAACGTAGTAACTCTAAGAAATCTAAGTACATACACACCCATATCCACACTTATATATTAATAATAACAATTATATACTATATACAACACAATGAATAGATTAAAATTTTGATCTAACAAAATATTCCTCAAGTATTTAGATTATGGAAAATTAAATAAACAGTTATATTGATTTAGCTGTTCATTTGTTTTGTATCCTTTTTCGTGAATTATATTGTATGGTTCTGGAACCTATTATTTCAGGCAGTGGAGGAGATTTACAAAGTTGCTTCAATATCACTGAGTCCAAATGTCCCTGCACAAATACTTGTAAGCCACTTATTATTATTATTATTTTTTTTTTTGATAGAAGTGTTCGTTATTCTCAGTTAATTTGGGATTCTAAATCCATGTTGATGAAAAAGTTCATAATTAATTTTCACTAGTTCAAGCGCCTCTAACTTGAGCGCAATTCCCGTTTGCAGATGGGAATCATGGTCAACCCTCCTAAACCTGGAGATATATCTTATGAAAGATATGTTAGAGAGAGGTATATTTATTAATTGAAAATGGTGGCGAATGTTGATTACATATCCAACCTCTATAAAGTGGTTGACACGCCTACTAGCAAATTCTTGAAACAAGAACAACTGAAATTTAAATCACAATTTTTCATATGTTTACTCATGATTTAACTGCAGCAAAGGCATCCTCGAGTCTTTGCGAAGGAGAGCGCAATTAATGACAGATGGATTCAACAGCTGCAGAAATGTGGTTTGCAACTTTACTGAAGGTATATTATAATCATTTACAAAATAAAAGATACTAGGAACTAATTTGAGCAACTGAAAAAAAAAAATGAATGTCCAGATCTTCATTTGATCTCAAACCTTTCATTTCAAAACCAAAATGGTGTTTTTCAGGTGCCATGTATTCGTTCCCCCAAATACGCTTGCCACCGAGAGCCTTGGAGGCTGCGAAAAAGGCTGGAAAAGTTCCTGATGTTTTCTACTGTCTCAAGCTTCTAGAAGCCACCGGAATTTCAACTGTCCCAGGTTCCGGATTTGGTCAGAAGGAAGGGTACGTGACTTTAGTTGTGTCTTGCAAAATTTCTGCCATTTTCTCAACCTTTTGTTTTTATTTTAGGGTTTTCCACCTGAGAACCACAATTTTACCAACGGAGGAAGACATGCCTGCAATTATGGAAAGTTTCAAGAAGTTCAACGATGAGTTCATGGAGCAATATGAAGACCAAAGGGGCTATTCGAGGATGTAAACAAGAGCGTACTGAGGAGAAAACGTCCACATTTGTATTATATTTAATTAATAATAAACCTTTTAAACTCTCATGTAACCTATTGTTTTCAAAACTCTGTTGCACTGCTCATTTTCCTCCAGTAAAACTTATGCTCAGTCAGATATGGAAATTTCTGACTAGTGGTAATAGTGTTGAGCTTCAACATTGTACAACGTAGCTAAAGAATACAAGGAAATGATTTAAATTGTTCTCGAAAACACTGAATTTCAAGAATTTGGAAGGCACTAAAAATAATTTCGAAGCGAAAGCGTTTTGAACCTTAGAGCATCTCCAATGTGAGATGTTGACTCAATAAAGTGTTAGCTACATCATCAAGTTATAAAGTGAAAACAAAAATTAATCTCCAATCTATAATGTTATGGACTCTTTTATGCTGACATGGAGACAATAAACATTCAAAGTGTGAAGCCCACTTTCTAGTTTTCCAAAGAGTGTTTGAAAGCCAATCATAAAAAATCTAACCTATTTTAAACTTTTGAAAGGAATGCATTGGAGATGTGCATTCCAAGTTAAAGTCTTCTCTTTTGACATTCATATTACATGGATTTACATTCCATTCATTATTTGACATGTGTTCAAATTTAATTAATGTTCAAAGTGAAGCATTGGAGATGCTCTTATTGAAGTTGATGTTAACAGTGCTGCTCACCACGTCGCCAACACTGGCTCTTCTCACCATGTCAACAACAGGTCTTACTGGACCTCGTCTAGTTGTTGGTTTGAAAAGAATGGCTCGTACAAAAAAGGGTGTTGCTAGTTGTCGCTCCAAATTACTAGTTGTTGTCTCAAAAAATAATTTAATAATAATTGAAATTATATTTTTGTCCTAATATAAATGTTTTACCTACTTCTACCCAAATTACTATTTTTACCTTCACTAACCTCCTTCTTCACTTTTACCTTAATCCACGTCTTCATCAATCTCCTTCTTCCTCTCATTAAAAATTAACTCACCAATCTCTACATTATTCTTTATTAATCCACATGTTTAGTAATCCAACATCGGGAACACATGCAAATGAGGTAAATTGTGTTAACCCTATTTTTTTGTATTGATTTTCACTTGCAAATGAGATAAATTGTGTTAATCCCTATTTTTTTTACATTGATTTTTCACTCACACATGGATCTCTTGATTTTTGAGTGTGTGAGTTATTTTAGGACTTAGATAATTAAACCCTCTTTATATATGTTGCATTAAACCAATGTGATGTGTTGATTAGTATGGTAGAATGAATAAAGTGATAATTGATGTAAGTTAGAGTTTAATTTCGTTCAATAAACGTCCCAGGTAAAAGCTCGAACATGGTTTAAACGTCTAATAACTAAGCTTATATAAGCCGTAAACGTTTTATTGTCATGCTACCTTACCTAAGAAACGTCTAACATGAAAGCCCGACTGTGAAGAGAAATGTCCATTGGTAAGGGGCAACACATAAAAAATGTACAAACTGAATGCTTGGAATCTCTAAACGTCTAACCTTAAAGCTTATATGCAGTTCAAACATTAGTATTGAAAGCTTAAAACCCCTGAAACGTCTAAACTTTAAGCTTCTGTGCATTTTAAACGTCCGGTTTGTAAGCTTCAACACTTAAGAAACGTAAATAATAAAAGGTTTGAGCGTCTGAAACGTCTAAACCTAATGCTTATATGCAGTTCAAACGTCTAAACCAAAAGCTTGTTTTTCTGCAATTGAATTTTATAGTTTTTTTTATTTATATTATTATTATCAATAGTTACTTTTTATAAACTGTGATAATAAAATTGTGTAATTTAACAATTTACAGGATGAATTTGAAGATTTTAAGGATTATTTTGAAGACGGGCAAATACATGCGAGTTATAGTGAAGCTCTGCATTATTGCTACTTTCTTGCAATATATTCAGGGTATGAGCTGAAAATAACTTCAAAGCATTTACCCACCAGTGTGAGGTACAAATGTAATCGGACCAACAGGAAGAAATCAGAAGATGGAGGGACTCCAAAACCAAGACAAAGAAAGAACATAAAGACTATTGGATCAGGTGGGTCCAAGTCCGGGTCTGCCCGGTGGTCAGGTGGGTCAGCTGGATCTAGACCGTTAAATCTCAACGGTCAAGATGATCTAAAATATGACCATTGCCCACCGACGGGCTGGATCGAAACTGGACCCGGACCATGGAACCGAATTTAAGAAAAAAATAAATTAAAAATCTGACAGTTGGATTTTCCCCGGTCAAAAGCTTTCAATGGCCCAGATTAGCGGGCTGCCAACGGTCCAATAGATTAAAAAAATTAAGATAAAACGAAAAATATGGTAGGACGTCTCGAGGGCCGGCCTCGGTCAAAAATTTTTATACATGAGGCACAGAACTGGCCCGGTCAAACTACAGGCTCAGTTCTTGGGCCTGTTGATCACAGGCCGGTACAGGGCCAATTTGATCGATTCGGGTCGAACTGGCAGGCTTGGCCATCCCATCGCCATAACTAGTACTATGAACTCGTAAGATGTAAACAAGAACGTGCATACAATACCTCTACTTTGATTCACTAAAAAATGAGGTTCATTTTGTTGGATAAATAGTCTAAGTGAAGTCCATTCACAATTGTCATAATTATCTATAAACTAATAAGATATTAATTATATTTCATAACTAAATATTGACCATTGGATCTCAACGGGTCAAAATGATCCAACAGTCAGATTTGGAAATTTGATCGTTGGCCAACCGTTGTGGAACCGGTGAGCCGGGTCGAAACTGAACCCAAACCCCAACCGTGGAACCGAATTTTTTTTTTTAAAAAATCTAACAGTTTTATCTCCAACGGTCAAAACTTTCAACGACCCAGATTAACGGGTTTCCAACGATCCAATATCAGGCCACGGGCTGGCTTGAC